TATTGTTGTATATAAATGACAGGTTTTAAGAATATCGGAAAACACTTCTGAAATATTAACAAACGACTATTTTGATTAATAGCACAATGAAGTATTTTCTTAAACAATAGGCTGTCCCTAATTTTGATTGATTAAAGAAGCACAGAAAAAAGTTGAACGATTTAAGAGAAGTGAGTGTTTTTAGTTTGGAAACAAGATAGAAGTTTCTGTGATAGACATTGAAATAATTAATTAACTTTCCGAAAAAATTAAATTTTTTTGTAGTTGTTAATAACTTATTTTGTGTTTTGTTTAGTTAACAATTTTTTTAAACTTTAATTATAACTTTTTTTACTATGCTTTATTTCTCAAAAGGTTGAAAACTGTTATTTCATTCTTAATATCTAGACTATTAAGTTACAACGGACTCATTTCAGAAGAACTAGGCACTATTCCCAAATATTTATATATAAATGTCATGGTTTATTGCTTAAATATACTTAAAGCCAAATAACATAATAATAATAACCATATTGTAAACTAAATTAAACGAGATCACAAATTCATGAGCTTTAATAAAAATTATTTAATTAAATTCACTAGTTTTCGTGGTATGCTTGACCAATTAATATCTTTCAATTAATTAAGGTTTTTAGTTGAGATAAAAAAGTCAGTGTCACGAGCGGGATACGAACCCAGGATCCACTTGAGCTGTCGTGACCTCGATCCACTCGGGCACTAACTTCCCATCTCAACCCCACCTTTTGAATTTTCCCTCGAGGTCACGACAGCTCAAGTGGTAGAGTAGCGGCGTATCTAGCCGAAGATCGTGGGTTCGAGTCCCGCTCGTGACACTGACTTTTTTATCTCAACTTAAATCCTTAATTAATTGACAGATATTAATTGGTCAAGCGGACCACGAAAACTAGTGAATTTAATAAGTTAAAATGAAGTATACCTCACTAAAGCTCTCCGTGGGCATTTCATGTGTCGCCGAGAATCAAATAAATAACATGATTTTTGAAAAATGGCAAGAAGGAAGGAAAATTCAAAAAGGTGGGGTTAGGATGGGAAGTTAGTGTCCGAATAGATCGAGGTTACTCCAGCTCAAGTGGTAGAGCAGCGGCGTATCTAGCCGAAGATCGTGGGTTCGAATCCCGCTCGTGACACTGACTTTTTATCCCCATCTAAAAACCTTACTTAATTGAAAAAAAAATTAATTATGATAATTTGAAAGAAAAGTCACTAAAACACAGGAAAAGCATTTAGTATATGTTCACGCTTTTAAATACATTTTTTCCAACCAGCTTACACAAAATACATCCATATCAAAATTTATAATGTATATAATAATTAGATAAAAAACAATACAAATTATATATACTAAAACGCTCCATCGAAAAATCGAAACTGGGGCCCAAAGATCCCCAGTCATTTTCTCATGCGGGTCGTGTAACTACTCGCTCTCTATATAGAATCACGGATTGACACCATCCAATTAAATGGGACGCATTGTGTAACCTTTGACTCACAAGTAAGGGTCTTTACAGCGTATGGTGGATTCTGAATCGGGTAAGAATGATCCTTCTTCTGAGTTAATGACTCTTTGGGGGCATATATTGCCCGTACTATTGACATACGTTTTCGGACGAACTGGCCCATTGTGCCAAAATTTTTTACTATATTCTTTTAATTCGTTTAGCGTCAGCATGTCCAGTAGCCATATCTGGAGGAGAGGCCGTCTCCTAAGGGTCAGCTTATCTGGTTACCCACTTAACTACTAATTTTTCTCGAGTTGTTCCTACTCAGTGTATATTTTAAACAAAATTTGAACGAGAATCTCGACCGATAATATGTCTTTTAGAACCCGCAACATTTTGAGGAAGTCAATACACACGAATAATGAAGAACATATCAGGAACGCACGACTTCATCGGCGTATCACATTGCATACAGCTCGGCACGTTTTATATATAATTTACGAAATTTGAAATAAATCTTGTATTGGGTGAGCGAACTTCACAATAAGTCGATAGAACATCAGAATATTTATCCGAATGTCGTTAGTTCGAGTCCGCTCGTTAATTTTCATCTGAACTGTACTTCGCTTTAATTGATTTTATTATAAAAAGTACTGATTAGGATACTAAGTAAAACTAAGCACTAATATTCCTTGTCATTATTACCATTTAATTATCGCATTGATCATTTTTCATTGTTTTACTAATTTGTGAATTTTATTTAAATTATTGTAATCGATTCCACGTTTTTAGATAATTATGTATGTTTTTTACCTAAAAAAACCTAAAACCCTTCCAACATTTTAGAGAGATGTTCGGATTTTCGCGAACCTACAGTTCAATATTCAGCTCTTGTCGAATTTTGCTGCCGGTTCTTGGTGATGGAACAATAAATATTTTATTGTTTTTTGCATAAATAATTAATAGTGTAAAGATTATTATTTGATGCGATTGATAGCATTCTGTACCAAATAATTATACGATTGTTTTGTTATCTAAAAGTTAGAGAGTTTGACACTATTGCCACCATTGTCTATGACCAATCACTGGACCACGTCACTGAACACAAAACAATGGAATTATGGGTGAAAGATCATCACTCTTGAATTAAAATTATATACATATAAAAGATAAAAGATGTGGCGAATTAAAAACTAGAAAAAGCTCAGTTCCTTCATCAAGCTTTCAAGGAAAATATTCACATCATCCGGCTTAAAAAGGATTTCTAATTATTTAAACGGTTAATAAATGTAAAAATTTATTTACAATATTTGAAATTATGGATTCAATCATAACAAATTTATGGTCCCGTCCATTCTGCATTACAATTATAACATCATTCCGGTTACACTATTACATAAAGCCAACACATCTGACCATTTTTCTGTAAGTGCAAAAAATACTATTAACAGTTTGAGAATTAATTATTCACGAAGTCTATCCAAATAAATTTTTGTTCAACGCATATTTTTTTAAAGCAAATATAATTTTAATCGGTACAAAAGTTAATTCGGCCAATGAACGAGCAACTAAGTGGTAGTTGCACAAATTTACATTTTTATTTTTAAAATTGGGTATTTTAAAGTGCCACTATTTATACAACTTAAACATTTCTATGTATAATTTTTTAAAAATATTTTATTAGCCTTCTGCCAACGTATTTGTCACAATCCACTGCTTTTGCTCTTTAACCATGACAAAAGTGTGGCTAGTGTTACGATGATGGTTCGAGTCACACACCCGCCCATGTTTCCAGGTAGCTTCTTGGTTGGTCCATAATATGTCACTAGTTACTTCAGGTACGTGTGCTTTTAGTTTTGAAAACAAGTTTTTTTATAAATTGTTTGTATACTGAAAGATCATATTTATACTCCGTCGTGGTAGTCTGCTTTTAAATATTACAGCTACTTTGAGATATTATCTAATAAGTTTTTTAAATATTTTATCATTGTTAGCAGCTACTCTGTTAGGTACATCAGCAGCAGTTCAGTATACTAAAGTAGTAGAAAAAGGAACGAAGCGTTTTTTTTCAACTTACCCTTATTTTTTATATGTAATTTCTCAAATTTATTGTATTAACTATACTGAATAATTATAATAACGAGATGTAAAAATAGAGTCAACACAATTCTGTGCCTTATTCAGGGCTCGAATACCACCTCCCACGAGACACCTCAAAAAGAGCCAAATAGTGAAAAAAGCCCCGATTTGAACTCATTGGGGAGTTTTGCAAAAAGCCGGTAGAACAATAAGTAATCATTAGTGAGGTACAAGTCGGTATTTGAGTGGGTTAGACCTTCGTTTTTATTTTTTCCGTAGTTAAGTGAACTTCGGATTAGATAACACCTATTTGTATTTTAAGCAGTTAAGAACCGCTGATTTGAAAAGAGTACCCACATTCATTTTATTAAAATATTCTGGAATAATGAAAAAGAATTATACATTTTAGAGAGAAAGACAGAGAGTGAGTGAGAAAGAAAGAGAGATAGAGAGAGAGTGAGAGAGAGTGAGAGAGAGAGACAGAGAGAGACAGAGAGAGAGTGAGAGAGAGACAGAGAGTGAGTGAGAAAGAAAGAGAGAGAGAGTGAGAGAGAGTGAGAGAGAGACAGAGAGAGAGTGAGAGAGAGAAAGTGAGAGGAAGAGAGTAAGCAAGTAAGAGAGAGAGAACAAATTAAGTGAGTGGGAGTAACCGAGAGGGGAAATTAAAAACAAAGGGACGAGATAAAGCAGACAAAGCAGACTTGAATATAGATAGATCTGTGTACATGTGAAGATATATAATTCGACAGCTAGGTAGGTAGGGAGATAGATAGATATAGATACTAAGTGTGTGTGTGTGTGTGTGTGTGTGGGAAAGACAGTGAGAGAGAGAAAGAGAGAGAGAGAGATTGAGAAAGAGAGAGAGAACAAATTAAGTAAGTGGGAGTAACCGAGAGGGGAAGTTAAAAACAAAGGGAAGAGATAAAGCAGACTTGAATATAGATAGATCTGTGTATATGTGAAAATAGATAATTCGACAGCTAGGTAGGTAGGGAGATAGATGGATATAGATATTAAATGTGTGTGTTAAAATTATTTTTTTTAAGTTGTAGAAAATATGTTTTGTAAGGTTTTATATTGCATTCTAGATCTGAAAAACAAGAAATAACTTCTAATTAAATTCAAAAACATTTTCCATCATTTCTGCTTAACAAAAATGGCTTTCTCCATTATTTAGCTTATTTCTATACAAGTTCACAATAATGTATTATACCAGGGCTCTGAGTTTTAATTTTTCTGATGGTTTATCGACATAATTGTACAACTCGGAATAATGTTTTATCGCTACACAGAGAATGAAGGATCGAGCCCTTCAATTTTCAAGAAATGCACTTAGTCCCTTATTTTCTTAATCGTCTACCTTAGAGTTCGTGTCGTACAACAATAAAACGTACATGCGAACGCGGACTGAAATTTTCCGAAGACCAATTCGTTGTTCGCTTCGTTTCGGCTCGTCTCGGTTCGGCGAAGGGGGCGGACACTACTCTTTCAACCCTTTCCGCGATCAGTCGTGTGGTGGCCGTCATCGGGACTCATGTACAAAAACTACAAATATTACAATTCGAAGTGGTCTCGGTCCTCGGCCGATGATTACACGGGCCACGACAGGTTCTGCCAGGAGAGGGTCGACAGAAAGAGGCGAAAGCCCGTCATTTACACCAAAGCTCAGAGTCAGGCTCAAGAAAAGGAGAGAGACAAAGAAAAAACAACTTCCAGAGACATTAGTCTATTCTCTTGCGTCAAACAAAACAAAGAGCAGACACAGGAAAATAACAGGTTTGACTACGTTTATGACAGACAAATTATATTTTGAACTCAAAACGTGAAAATAAAATTAGGAAAGAAGAATATACCAAAGCTTACGTCACACTCATAAAATAATGCTTAACATTTACATACAACAATTAATATTTAAATTTTAAAACATCATTACTTCAAAATATAATATAATATCCCCGTGTGGTATGCGAGTGGTGGTGTCTGCATAGCAAATATCAAAATAACATTCTTTAACGAGTAAATATGATAAAAAATACACCATAATGCTTGTTAATAAATTTTTTAAGTAGAATATCATTTTCACGTTTGATTTCTGTATGTCTCGCTAAATAAAAACCAACAGTTTTTGCTTTATCACATTTGACATATTAAAAATTCAAACAGCACTTTTTTGGTACATTTTCTAGCACTGAAAGAACAAGACAAAATATATTCTTGTATACTTAGAATTTAAGGACATAAATTGAATCAGTCAGAATATGCGGAAAGCTGAATTTTGTGACTGAATAATTTATTAATTTTTACTTATTTATAATTGCTTTTAATATTACAAATATTTATTTGATAATTTGTTTACATTCCTCCTACATGTGGGTTTCCTTTTAATTGTTACCATTTTATCCGTATTCTTGTATATGTATTTACATTCTTTGTAAATACGAAACCTGTACAACATAAAATGTATAATGTATATTATTCTGTAAATAAAATTTATTATTGAGCAAACACAAAAAAGAATCGAGTAAAATATTTTTTCTAGAAAAGATTACATATCCAAATAACCACAGATATTCTTGACATTGATTAACATAGAAACTTTAACCTGGCACTTAAAATTATTAACTAAAAAAAGTATTTTTGTTTATCATTCGTTCCAAATCTTCCATTAAATTAATGAATCAGTTAAATTTTTATATGTAGATTAAATAGTTCAATATCGCGCACGTGTTTGAGTGTTTTAATTGCTGACAAAGGAGACTACGAAACCGATTTTATTGAAACTTTTTTTGGTCATGCTAGGTCAACAAATATTACATGTGGCTCATCGTTCTTGTCAATGTAAGAGAGGTAAAAACTTTTTATGTAGATTACATTTTTTGTTAGGTGGTGCTGCACGACTATTCAGCTGTTTAGGACAGTTGTAAAAGAGCTAAAATTGTCACAATAATCGCCGACCTTAGAAAGGAATAACACTTTAAAAAGAAGAGAAATGTGTAAAAACTTTTTGAAAACGTAGGAGGATAAAATAATTTAAGCCGCTACGTCACCAATTATATATTTCATTATGAAAGATATGCTAAATGTCAAGTTCAAATTTAACGTATGAACCGAGCACTGTAAAAAGTAGGTTAAAATATTTTTTTAACCTCAAATCCAAATTAATATTTGTTAAATATACCACCAAAAACTTCCCATTAAAAATATAAGAAAAATGATATTTTGCCAACAGCTTCGATTTTTTCTAAATTCATAAAAATGGAATAGATTTTATTTTGAAGGGTTAGTTTTTCAATAATGAGCGTGTGGCACATTTGGGAATTTAATGCTATAAAATAAATTACAATTAATTAAGGTTTTTAGTTGAGATGAAAAAAAGCTAATGGCACGAGAGGGATTCGAACCCATTAGTTCATTTTCATCTCAACTAAAAACCTTAATTAATTGTATGTATTAATTGGTCAAGCGGACCACGAAATTAGTGAATTTAATGAAGCTATAAAATAAAATTTGAACAATTTCATGTGGAAAAAGAAGAAAACAACAGAAACTATGAACAAGATTATAAAAATGATAATAACTTTGTAGGTTTTTCAACCATCTACAATCAACTTTACAAGGGTTTAGAATATATTAACCTGCACATACTGCACAAACTAACTCTCTATAAATAAATTAAAACAGGAGATATAAATTAAAAGGTTTCCGATGTTTTTGTTGATTTCATCCTTATTTTTGTCACTTGTAATGAAATATAAACTAAACCTTGTCGACATAAACTGAAGTAAAAGACATTCCCATTGAAATCGTTTTCAGAACATCGAATTTGAACAAAATCCAGAGGAGTTCAGAATTTGAACTTGACCACAGGAGGAAAGATCACAACAAATACAGAAATCAGTATTTTACAATGCATATTTAAATTTGTTTTTCTATTCCTAGTTCAAGATCCTTTTGGATCACATTTGTGTTCTTCATCATGAAACGTCTTGAATTAAAAACTGCTGGTCGATAGCTACATCCTTAATACGTTCTTAATTTTCAAAAATTTCCTCCTGGCTTCACAGGTGAATTTGAAGTTATCGTAAAAAGTACAAAACTAACATTTCCCAATTTTTTGAATTTACTCATGAATGACTGATTCTAGGAAAACAATTTAAAAATCACCTCATTCGGCGTAAAATTTTGTAAAAAATGAGACCTAGTGCAGGTCTGTGGCATAAAAGGCTGAGAAAATAGGCATTTCCAAAGTTCGCCATTTTTCCCTGCAAAAACCAGGTGGTCGGTCTTTGATGGTCAGTGTATTTTCCTCTATGCTATTTTTTAATAAACAAAAAAATAAATAGTTGCGTATATAGGTTTTTACTCCCAAGCAAATACTACAGATTGTTAAAAAAACCTAAAATAAAATCGCGTGCGACTTTTTAGTATAATTTCAACCGATGAACGACAATCACTTTGCTGCAGACTTAGGGCCAAACACGTGTCTATTATGCTTTGTTGGAACGAGGAAATATTTTGTCTTCCAGTTGTTGTTGTTATAAAGTTAAATTTGGATTAAATTCAATTGAGTTATGAATTTTTAAGAGGATCAACAGGACACAAGAGAAAAATTTACCGATCTAATCCATCTCAAAAATATCAAATTTTTATCTCGATGAAAATTCATATGTAATTGTTTTGAAGGGTGTTTAAATAATTAATTTCCAATTAAAACTATCGATTGATATATAACAACCCTCAATTACAGTAAAAAAAGACAGAAATCTATTGTTTAAAAGTATTATATAAATTCCATTTTAAAAAAATCTAGACGGATTACGGGCTTTGGCATAAATGCACGGTCACGTGGATAATATTTTTTCACATAATCCCACGAAAAAAAAGTTAATTAAAATCGGTGATTCCACATCTGTATGCTTTCACTGTTTACAAAAATATTTCTACCATTTAATATAATATACTAATATTAAATTTTTATATGTTTTTGTGTCCTTTCTGTTTGCTTAATTTGAAAGAAATATACTAATATATAAAAATTCCCATTTTTCACGCATGAAAATATCGTTAACTTTTTGGACTTCACAAGCTTCCAATTAAAAATAATTATTCACTCTTCTTGTACACCAAAGCACGCAAATTTAATTGTTTTCTTTAATCAGCGCAAATATTTTTTTATATGAGAAGCATTAGCCAAGTAAAAGTAAGAAAAGTTTTCAAAGATAAATATTTTAAAAGACAACCACGTTAATGCTCAATTTGAAATAATTTTATGACAGAACGTTGGCTTAAAGCTGTAGTGTGGTTAACTTGAATTTGAACAAAATGTTAAACGGATGTGTTAACTATTTGGTACCGAGAAAGAGATCTTTTTTAATGCACCTTTTGACAGTCTTCCTTCCAATTCCAGACTTCTATTTGAATTAGATTTTTCACAATCACATTTAAATAATGGCGTTTTGTGAAAAAAAATTGATTTTTGAAAATGATATATGGGAATATTTTCTATTACAGAACTAGTTTGAATTACGAAACAACTTTGGTGGTAAGTGAGAAGTAATAATTTATTACATTAAATTTCATGACTGAAAGCTACATGCTGCACAATATTAATTCGTTAATTTTGTTGTACCGAGAAAATTATGTTTTCGAATAATCAAGTCGTGTCAACATTATTAAATACGATTTAAATGCAGTATAAAAAATCACGTTTTGTATAAATCGAAAATGGCCTTCAACATCTTATGTTTAAATGTATCGAACAGAAAATGCAAAGTATCAGTGCACTAAATTTAGCATACTTTTCTTATTCTCCAGTGTAATTTAAATTAAATCTTTCTATAGCACAATTGTAAGTACGACAAATCATTTACGAAGAATGAATTCGGCTAAACCAGCAATTCTTTGCAGTCCTGCCGAAGTGTAGCCCTCTGCGCCTTATAAACCGGCTGATCATAAATAAAACATAACATCCCTTTCCCACACTCCCTCTCACTTTTGGTTACCTCTTATATATACTTTTGATCAATTGATTAAGTAAGACTTGAAGGATTTTTCTACCAAAAGTTCAAAATCCTATGGGTTGTGATGGAAAATTATCAACAGACCACGTTAGAAGAATAATTGCATACAAATTTTAACCAAACAAACTTCACCTTATCCACCTATCATTTTCCTTTTTTGTACAAATGTTTTGCCGTTTGTCCGTTTTGATCGAACTGTAAATACTTGACAATCAACTTGTCAGTTTTTACCGATAATACTATGTATCTAAATAGAGAAACACTCTTCAAATAATTCCTTGATTTCGCAAAAGGGAAATTGTTTTAATGGTTTAGGTTTTCATATTGATGTGATACCAACCTTAATGTATTTAGCTTCAATTCGAAAAAAATAAATAAAGAAAGAAACCTCAGTTTCTTTATAATGCTTTTGAGGAACCGTTAATTTAGACTTTGAAACTATGTCTAATAATTTACACTGTTAACTAATATACAAATTTACACACAGCATTAAAAGTTATGGTTTCAACCTAGAATTTATGAAATTAGCTTACTAGAGTTGACGAGATTTAATACCTTTCATTGTACTGTTCAATCTTGAACCTACGATTACGAACATTATACTTTTTTATTATAGTTCATTTAAAAGTTTAAACAGGTTATTAACTCCAGCTTTGTACTGTTAAAATAAATCAAACAAACTGTCATATGTTGGTAATTCAGTTTTCAATAGATAAATTGCATTTTGGGCAATTATTGCAGGTAATTATTGTAATT